AACAGAATCTGCCTGTTAAAAGGGAGGTTTTCCTCTCCACTGTCTTCACAAGCATGCTTGGTGTGAAGGATTGCCTTCGAGTCAATGAGTTCATGCAATAAGCTGGTTTTCCTTAGAAGAGAAAACTTTGATACAATCTAAATGTATGATTGGGTTGAATTGTCTCTTGAAAGAGCCTTAACATGAGAAGTGTTTTGAATTGTCGTTATATAAATAAAATAAACTGAAACTTCAACTCCCCCTGTTCTTGGAACCAGCAACCCAGTCTGGTAGGTGTTATCACAGAATGCAGGGTGGAGGCAGGTGGAGCCGTCCTTTGGGAAGACATTTTGCTCCCTTGCTTGTCTGATATCAAGTCAAGCTTTAGCTCACTGCTTGGAATTAAAATGTAATAAAGATAATAAAAAAAAAGAAATCACAGAAGATCAGGAAAACTAAGCCAGCAGCTTTACCGGAGCTTCCTGTTCTATATGTTTTTTCATGTGAAAGACAAATCTGGGATGCAAAAACAAACCTCCATCCTTTTCCTTTCCTGTTAGAATGTGTCCCAACAAATAAAAAACCAATCAAATTCTTGACTTTCCATTTCACTCGTGCTGCTTTTGAACACCAAAGGATCACTTCGGTTAATTCTTTATGTGTGTGTTTTAAAGGAATAGTACTTTAGTACTCCAACTATTCCTTTAAGTCTGCTTACCTTGCTGATGAAACCTCGGAGTACAGCAAAGACGTGTCTGATTGCAGCCTCAGACTGGCCCACTTTAAGGAAGGTCAGGTAGACATCGAACACTTTCCTCATCAGCGGGTTGTGACCATCGCTGTCCAGCAGCTGGGTCTGCCAGGCGTACACGTATAGAACACAGTGAAGCATCACCTCCATAATTGCTGGCTGGTTGGATTTTCATGTATAAATGTGGCTGTAGTGTGCGCTCACCTTAAAACACTGAGTGAAAAGAGAGAGGACGTCCAGGATGCTCAGACACACCTCGGTGGAGATGTTACCCTCCAGCAGAGCCTGATGGTGGACCTCTGCTTCCGTGGGACCCGTTCCTACAACACACATACAGATTCTGTTTATTAGAAAAACTATTATGGATTACCAGTAGGGTTGTCACGATACTAAACTTTTCAACTCGATACCGATACTAAGG